GACGTACCCTAATACAGAAAATATTATAATGCCTTTTGTATAAATCAGTGGTGCAGTCTCATCTGGAATACTTTGCAATACTGGTCACCCCATCTCAAAAAGATACTGCAGAATTGAGGGGGGGTCAGAGACAGGCAAGAAAAATGATCAAGGGCATGAAAAAATTATAAATAGAGATTGAAGAGGTTGGGATTATTTACTTAGGAGGGGGATTGAGAGAGGACATGATAAAAGTATATAAAATAAAGAATGTAGATCAAGAATGTTTTTCTCCCTGTGTCAGAACACAAGAACAAGGGGACATTCAGTTAAAAGGTGGCAAATTCAAAACCAGTTCTGCTTTACACAACATATAGTTAGACTGTGGAAAAAATGACATAGGAAATCATTGAGGCTAGGAATTTAGCAATATTCAAAAGGGATTGGACATTTGTATAGATAATATCCAGAGTTGTTACAATTGATTATAATTTTGGAAGAGATATTAAAGGTTATGCATCAGTGCCTAAACCAGTCTCTTATTATTGGAGACCTAATGTGGGAGGCAGATTCTCTGATCTGCCTACAGAAGGGTTCTTACACTTTCTTCTGAAGCATCTGAACCCAGGGCCACTGTCAGAGAAGATGTCTGTTATTTAGATATATTATTGTAGCACATAGGAGCTGTAGTCACGAATCAGAATCCCATTGTTCTAGGTGATGCATAAAGATGGGCCTTTCCCCCCCAATAGTTTATAATCTAAGTATAACAGACCGACAGGAAAGTACAAGAAAATGATGAGACAGAATTGGTCATCATGATAGGTAGTGGTATTAGCAGACAAGTGACCTAACCATTGCAAAAAATTTTTGTATGCATCTAGTTGTCAGCTCAAGCTCTAAGCGGCTAAAACAGCTCTTAATCCTCCCTTTCAACACCACTACTCAAACCCCACGTTATGGGCATGAGTATCTTCAACTAGGCCCTCTCCTTTGGTACTCGCCTCCAGGCTATGTCTGAGTTTTGCATATTCTTTATGCTTAACTTCTCTAAGATACAGTCTTCCCTATTTATCCACAGCTAAAACTTTTGTCCAGATTCTCATAATCTCCTCTCTCAATTATTGTGACATCCTTTTCTCTGACCTTGGCAAATGCAATCTTGCCCCGCTGATATCCGTTCAGAATGCTGTTTCAAAGATCATTTTTCTAGCCTGTCACTTTGACCATGTCACCCTCTCTTTGCATCACTTCACTTGTTCCCTCTTTATTATATCAAACTTGTCTTAATTTTCATGGTCTTTTATGACCTATCCTCACCCTACTTATCTTTCATTCAGTATCAAAATGTTGACTCCCACCTCTGACGAGATCAGCCTCCATAGTTCACTTGTTTAATTTTCAGACACCTTTGTGCTTTCTCCCATGCTGCTCCTCATGGTTCGGAGAAGCACTCTATAAACATCTGCAAAACTAACTCATTTTTCTCCTTTATAATTCTTCTTAAAACTCCTTTAGACACAAGGCCTACAAAAAACATAATAATGGGTTGGCTATTGGTGCGCTGAGACCATTGCCTGTCATGCTAACTATGAAGGGGCACACCCACACACTGATAGAGGGGACTAAGGAGCTCCTCTGGGCCTGTTCAATGGCAGCAAAGCACAGCTGCAAAGCTTGTTCTATCTGGGGGTGGGAGCTTAAAAGGGAAAACCTGCCACAGGAAGGTTCCCTCCCCAACCCCCACCGTCCAGACAGGCCTGCTGAGGAGACAGCAACAAGGCTCACTGCTCCCAAAGCTGCATGAACCAGCCTCCAAGCAGCAGGCCCTAGAGGAGGGGCTGGAGGTGGACCCTGTGTAGGCTAAGCCAAAAGGTCTGACCCAGGAAGACTGCCTGAGTTCCAGGTCACCCTTGCTTTTTTTTAAATTTCCCACGGGGGGAGAGGGGGGAGAAGCAGGGCAGGAGAAAAGACAGTGCAAGGACCTGAAGCAGAGACTTGGGGGAACCCTGACCCCCACCCTGACCTATACTGTGTTATTGTTGCCTTGTGCTCCCCCATCTGTTTGTATCCATCTGTTGTCCCTTGTCTTATACTAAGGCCTTGGCTACACTTGCATGTTATACCGCAATAAAGCTGCCCAGAGCGCTCTAACTCACTCGCCATCCACACTGGCAAGGCAAGTAGAGCGCTCTGACTCCCTGGCTAGAGCGCTTCTGGTACTCCACCTCCTCGAGAGGGATAACGTCTGATGCACATCTGATGCGTATTGGGTGAGACTCTGCAGCTCCAGTGTAAACGAGAAGTTACATTACTACGGTCTGATTGACCTCCGGAAACGTTCCATAATCCCCTTAACTGAAGTGGCCTCTCTTGTCTTTGTTGTGAACTCGAGGAATGCGGAAGTGCCCTTTTGGAGTGCCTGCTGCTTATCTGGTCCGAAAGAAAAAATAAACAGCTACTGTTTGCTTTGAGTGAGTGAGAGAGAGAGGTTGGGGAGGCAGAGGGGTCTGAACTTACAAGATAGCATGCTGACACACTCTCAGCACCCCAAAAACCCACTGTCTCTCCCCTCCACATACACACAACACACTCCCTGTCACACTCCATCCCACCCCACCCCATTTGAAAAGCATGTTGCAGCCACTTGAATGGGATAGCTGCCCATAATGCATTGCTCCCAATGCAGCTGCAAATGTGGCCACGCCAATGCACTTTCAGCTCTCAGTGTGGACAGACTGCAGCGCTTTCCCTAGTGCACTCTACGAAGGCTGGTTTAACTCAAAGCGCTCTACATCTGCAAGTGTAGCCATACCCTTAGTCCCTGCCTATATGAACTTTCAGTCTGTCTTTTTGTTCTGTTTGTATGGCGCCTGGCACAATGGGATCCTGGTCCACAACTGGGGCTAGACACTATTGCAATTCAAATAAAAATAATAATGCCTGTTTGGCTACTATTCATGTTATAACTTACTGTCTTCCCTGCAACAGCTAAATAGTTAGCTCTAGTTGGTACACTAGAGTTACTCCATTGGAGCTAGCAAGCTGGAGTGAGAGTGACCACACTGCAAAACAACACTATGCAGAGTGATTTGATTAGCAGCACAGAATGATTGAATTAGCGGGGTAGTTGGATTAGCCATTGAGCTGTTATAACTTCATTTCCACAGCATTACTAGCTCCAACTTCATCACCATTTGAACTTCAACCCCTCATGCAGCCCCTCTCTAACCCCCCACATCTCTGATGGATGAGCTAGTTTACATCTTAAAGGCTGTGGTCTCCAAAGTGGGGTGTGCGCAAGAGGATCCTTGGGGGTGCGCGGCAGGAGCAGCGCTTTTTTTTCCTTTTGCTTCGGCAGTTTGGGCGGGAGTCCAAGCGGCTTTTTTTTTTTTTGCTTTGGCGCGGCAGGGGGTGCACGCTCAAAAAATTTTTACTGATGGGGTGCGCGATCAAAAAAGTTTGGAGACCACTGTCTTAAAGCACCATTTAACTCCAGCTAGATATTTTCTTTGTGGACAGAAGTGGGGTTAGGGGGAAAAATTGAGTTATACGGTATACCTCCAGCTAACAAAGCAGTGAAAACAAACCCATAGGAGCTACACTTTTGTCAGATTTTATTCTACAAGAAAAGGGTTAATGTGCAGCGACTGACAGATTTTTATTTTAAAAAATCCCTAAGAAAGTTATACAGACGCTCCCTGACTTACGCAAGCGTTCCTTTCTGGAACGCCTTGCATAAGTCGAATTTTGTGTAAGTCGGGAATGTATCTCTAACAATCACGCTCTCCCCCCCCCCCCAAAAAAAAAAAACTTACGGAACTTTTTCTGTAAGTGCGGATTTCCGTAAGTCTGGTTTGCGTAACCCAGGGAGTGTCTGTATATAAAAAAGTTTTGTGAAGCGCACTCAACTTACCTGGCAAACTCTCAAAAGCAAAGATATAAAAAGTCTCCTACAGTACAGACCTCTGCTCCACCTTACAAGTATTACAACTACAATATGCCACAGACCATGCCCTGATAACTTAAACCAGGATTCCACCTGGGATGTGAGCTTCCATCCTCCCCTTTAACTGCTTTACAGCCACAACCCTTTCCCAGACTACCTCTCTCATCACTAGCTTTTGCTACACCAGCTGTCTACATGTACTAGTGTTGGGGAAGGGAAGAAATAATCCAGTAAAAAGTATGTACAGAAGGATGGAAATGGGGCAAAGTTAAGGTTTTGGTGCATGATCTGTAGTATATTGCAGTTGTAATGTTAAAGTGTGTGCTTGTGGGTTGAATGTGTGTTCTTGTTAGGTGGCTTACCTTTGATTTCCTTATTTTTGTGGGTAGGTAAGTTGTATTTGTAGCAACTCAAACTGCTTCATAACAGATTTTTGTGTGTCTAATAGGATCTAGGTAACTGTCTTCAGTTGCTAACTAATACTTGGCACATAATTTGTTGCTATTGTCAGTAGTGCTTTTGACATTTTAATGAGCTGTCATTAGTCATGCTATGGAGAGAATTTCAGAGCATATTTTTATATTCTACTCCGAACAGAGATACAAAAAGTTTGGGCTCAATTAGTACCCCTTGTGGTAAAGCTATGTGTCTGTCTGGAGTTCTGAGTGTTAAGGAAGTTCCAGTAGCACATTCTAGGTAAATCCTTACAAGTTGTAACCTAAACAGTGCATCACATAAAAACATTTACTCATTTGTTTTTGTAACTAAGATCCAGTCCAGCAAATACTTGCACTTGCTTAATTTTGCTCACTTTGTCCTTTTTTACTTTATAAGGCTACTCATGGATGTGTTTGCAGAATTGAGATCTAATACAGGATCGTAAAACAATATGACAGTGAATTGTATAAGGTAGCATCTTTTATTTTTATTTTTTTCCTTCAGCTTTTCAGGGACACATTTCCATGTCTGCACGCATGGACTTATACAGAGTGAATCAGACTTTAGTCCAGTAGAGCTAAACCAACATTAATGTAATATGCATTTAATATAAGTTACAATTTTGTTTTCACAGCTATTTGTGAAAGAGCTTAGCTGACTATGGATCCAGGTGGTGGAAGTCTTGGATTGCAGACACAAGAGTCCAAAATGCCTCACACTATGATTATGCAAGATTTTGGTAAAACATTTTATTTTTAAACACTAATGCATAAAATGGGAGAGATCTTTCAAATAAAACATATTTTCTACATCATTGAATGTAGCTCATGTTCAAATGTAAGATTAATTAACAGTTTATAATAATATTTAGTATGTATTTAATTTTGTCTTCACAATGCCATACAGAGGCAGTCCTCAGGAAACAAACTATCCATATTTGAATTCCCACTTTTATCAGTGTACACTTTAGTTGCTGATGTTGGAAAAAGTCTGTATGAATTTTTAAAATTGCAGCGTTAATTCTGGATGAAGTAGAACTTCAGTGAGTTGACTAAGGGGCAGTTTGTAAAAAGTTCTGAACGCCTCCTCTGTAGCGCTGAGTACCCTCAATCCTCATTGATTAAATGGTAATCAAGGCTTTCAGTAGCTTACAGTATGAGATCCTTAAACTGAGGATGGTTCAACAAGATCTTTATCTTAAAAGGCATTGTGACAATTTTTTTCTTGTGTGCTCAAAAATTGCTGTTTCCTTCTGATCTGTTAGGCTAAATCCTGTCCCTCTACCATCCTTTCTCCCCCTTGTGGAATTAGACAAGGCCTCTGTGCTCCATGAATGGCCAGCGATCTGTACGAAAATCTCTCAGATCTTGCGCTTCCACATTACATCTTAGGCCCTCCTGGCACATAAAAGCTTGAGTCCCTTTAGATCAGGGGTGGGCAAACTCTTTGGCCTGAAGGCCACATCTGGGTATGGAAATTGTATGGCAAGCCATGAATCGTATGGCAAGCTCACAAAATTGAGGGTTGGAGTGCAGGGGCGAGGCAGGAGGTCTCCAGTTGGGGGTGCAGGAGGTTGCTCTGGCCTGGGATGGAGTGGTTCGGAAGGCAGGAGGGGGATCAGGGCTGGGGAACGGGGTTGGGGCATGTGAGTGGGTCAGTGGTGCAGGCTCCAGGCGGCACTTACCCTCAAGCAGCTCCCAGAAGCAGCGGCATGTCCCCGCTCCGGCTCCTGTACAGAGGCACGGCCAGGCAATTCCGCACGCTGTCCTGTCCACAGGTGCTGCCCCTGCAGCTCCCATTGACTGCAGACCCCGGCTAATGGGAGCTGCGGAGGCAGCGGTTGGGGCGGGGGCAGTGTGTGGAGACCCCTGGCTTGCCCCTATGTGTAGGAGCCAGAGGGGGGACATGCTGCTGCTTCCGGGAGCCGCGCGGAGTTGGGCAAGCCCCCGACTCAGCTCCCCAGCTGAAGTGCCGGAATGGGGCAAGCCGGCGGGAGTTCGAGCGCCGGATTAAAATGTCTGGAGGGCTGGATGCAGCCCCTGGGCCGTAATTTGCCCACCCCTGCTTTAGATCCATGTTCTTATGGCCTCCCTGCTGGCTGCTGTCCTGAATTCATGCATGCATGCCTGTGTAATTATGTTCAGAAGCTCCTAAATTGAAATGAATGTCCATCCAAGATGTTGTATTGATTTAACTAAAGCAGTTTCTAAACTAATTTAGTTAATTTGCTACTGTTTTCTCATGTAGACAGGGCAAAAGTAAGATAATAGTGACTGCACCAGCCTTAGGTATTTGAAAGGAATGGTACAGTGGGCAGTCTTGACTCTCTCCTGGACCTGCAGGTCCCTAACTCTGCCATCTATCAATAGAGGGTTTTTTTTATTACACCTCTACCCCGATATAACGCTGTCCTCGGGAGTCAAAAAAATCTTACCGCATTATAGGTGAAACCGCGTTATATTGAACTTGCTTTGATCCGCCGAAACACGCAGCCCTGCCCCGCCCCGGAGCGCTGCTTTACCGCATTATATCCGAATTCGTATTATATTGGGTCACGTTATATCGGGGTAGAGGTGTATTATTATTTGTATGGGGAGGACCATTCTGCAGAGCTAGTATTAATAGCATAAGTCCTTTGACTGTGCCAAATTAATTACAATAAAAATGGAAAATATTATTTACCACCTTCATTTTAAAAGGGCTTATGTTCTTGAATATTTTATCCATAAAGATTAAAATTATTGTTTTTATTTAGGCTTTAAATAATTGGATATTTCTAACATGGCTTCTCTTGCAGCCCAGATCCCTGTCGGCTATGTTTCCTAGAAAGGAAAATTGTTAATATTTACTAGAGTGAATAATTGAAACCTCTGGCATAATTTGATACGCAAGTAAAACAAGTGATATTTTTGACAGTTTGAACTCCACAGTTTTTGATATGTTTAAAGAAACTGTTATCTTGTGTCACAGCAAAGCCACACAGTTTCATGCTGTTTAGTCAGCTTTGCTGTTCGGGCTCTGTTGCACTAACAAAATAATGCAGCGTTCAAGTTGCTAGCATAATAGAAAAATGTTTTAGCTTTTTTAGAATACATATAATGGAATCAGCTACTGACCTTTTGGCTTTTAAATCTCAGCTTTATTAAATCTAAACTGGGGGGCAGATTTGACCTTTTAAAGAAAGATTTGGGTTTTTTTGTGCTTTTGTTTTGTTTAATTTTAATTTTAATTTTAAAATCATAGACTATTACAAGATGGTGTTCATTCTGTAAAATGTAATGAAATTTGTTAGAAGGCAAGGGAGCACTCTTCTATGCATAGCTTGTACCTTAGTTATATTTCTTAGATACAGTACATGTGATACAGTAGTGTGAATGTTAACATTTTCTCTCATTCACAATTGTTTCACAGTGGCTGGAATGGCTGGCACTGCTCATATTGATGGCGACCATATTGTTGTATCAGTCCCTGAAGCTGTATTAGTTTCTGATGTTGTCACGGATGACGGGATAACTCTTGATCATGGCTTAGCTGCTGAAGTTGTCCAAGGACCAGATATCATCACTGAAACTGATGTTGTAACAGAAGGTGTAATTGTTCCTGAGTCTGTGTTGGAAGCTGATGTTGCGATTGAAGAAGCTTTAGATACCAGTGATCATGTTTTAACTTCTGATCTAATAACGGAAACTGTTAGAGTTCCTGATCAGGTTTTTGTGGCTGACCTTGTTACTGGTCCTGATGGACATTTGGAACATGTGGTGCAAGACTCTGTGTCAGGAGCTGACTCACCCACAATGGTTTCAGAAGAAGTTCTTGTAACTAATTCAGATACAGAAACTGTGATTCAAGCCGCCAGTACTGTTCCTGGTTCTACGGTTACAATAAAAACTGAAGATGATGATGATGGCAAGAGCACTTCTGAAGACTACTTAATGATATCTTGTAAGTGAAATAAAGGTAGATATAAATAGGAGATTATTTCAACTAGAAGTGGTCCAGTAGGGAGAAGTTATTAAAACTGAAATCTTGCTAACCTGTGCACCTGAACTCTCTGAAAGCACAGTCTCTTGCCACATTAATTACTTGGTGCCAAGACTTAGATTTTTTGTGTGTGTGTGTAATTTCTGAACAATGGATGTTCAAAAAAATATTTTTAATATACTACATATACTGTAATTTAACCTCGCAGTGATACAGTAAATTTAAAAAAAACATAATTATAAATTATGGAAATATGTGCAGAAAATAGCATTTTTTGAGTTTCATCAATAGCATCAAGCTAGAAAAAAAGAACACAATATAAGAATGGCCATACAGGATCAGACCAGTGGCCCATCTAGACCAATATCCTGTCTTCTGATAGTGGCCAGTGTCAGAGGAATGAACAGAATGGGGTAATTCCCCTGTCATCCAGTCCCATCTTCTGGTAGTCAGAGGTTTAGGGACACCCAGAATATGGAATTGTGTCCCTGACCACATTGGCTAACATAAAAACGTTAAAGGCCATACATTTGTCTGACAAAACAAAAAGATAGTAGCCAATTTGTTGTATGTACCACTGCCTGGTCTGAACTAAACTTAAAAAAAATATGCATTTATTGACTGACACCTGATCTGAGGCTGAAAATGAAAACTGGCTTCTTGCCCTATATTGCACTGTGGGAAGTGCACATAGATTATTAGCTACCTGCAATTAGAGTACAGCTGGCTGAGTGAGAGCAACTGTGGGAAAATTGCAGACTAGGCAAATAATCCTTTTTTTCTACAATTAAATGATATTGACAATTGGATGTCTGGTACCAGTTTTCACTCTCACCCACAGGACTTCCATGTAGGTTAATTAGTATACAAAATATCTGTCAGCGAAAACTTTTCTGAATTACAGCTAGTGAAATTTGACTAGGCCAGAATAGGTTTTGATTGTCCAATAACCATTTTATATAGCTGGTAGCAACCCATCTCAATAAATGATGGGAATGCCAAGTGTGTCAAAACTTCAGAGATCTATTTTCAATAGACTGCTTTTTTTAAATTTTCAGGATAAATACAAATCACTGTATTCAGATATGTCTTATCAAGTCTACATTTTGAAACATGTCTGTGATGCTGTTTTCCAAAACATTTTTAGAAATATTACATGTTTAGATTTTTTTCCCAAAATTGTGGGATAGACAGAGCTACAGTTTTCATCAGTCTGTCCTTAATGTAATGTCACGTGCTGCATGCAAGGGCACTTTAAATATGTCATTTAAACTAGTGAGGGTTTTTGAACAAGAACACAAAGAAACCATTATGAAAGCAAATCAAACTTTCTACAGCAGTGGTATTCCTGTGTATGTTTTATGAGTAAAGGAACACCATTATAATGCTCAGTTGTTTTCACTGAAAGAATTCCTCCTTTCTAACAGAGTACTTATGATGAGTTGTGTTCTGTAACTGCGATATTTCCAACTGCATCCTTGTAATTGTAAGTAAAGTCATCTTTGGAATTCCTTCTAAGGTAGATAACTATAACTTGATGGTAGTTGTTGTGACTGTGTTTTAGGCACATCATGGTCTGAGTAAACACAATTGCAACCTGAGTTATAAGAAAATCTGGTTTTTTGAAGAGTCATTATTAGGCTTTAAAGTCATCATCTCATTTAGACCAGTAGGACAGTTCTCACCACTTATGGGGCTTGATCCTGTAATGTGCTGAGCACTCCAGTTTTGGTGCAACAAAGTATATGCTAACTTTAAAATTAATCGTAAAGTTAAGCATGTACTTAAATGTTTTGCTTGACTGGGACCAGAGTTCTCATCACCTTGCAGAATCAGTCCTATAGAGCTGTTTTTTCAGGTTTTATAAGATGGTGCTGAATTGGTTATGCTTCTGAAGATAATATGTAAATCTTTACAGCTAGATAATGGTTCTTTTTGTTTCCTTAAAGAAAATGAGAACTTGTATTCTGCAGAATCTGACTCTGTCATGCTGAGACAGATAAATAGATGTTTTACTGTATAGTTAAATATGCAACATATATTAAAGGAGTATAATTGTATACTATGATTCCCCATGATATATTACCAGGGTTTTCAAACTTTTTTGTAGTGTGGACCACATCTGAACAGAGAGATTATCGCATGGACATTTTTCTGATTCATGAACGCATAACATCCTTTGTCAACAACAGCAATTGTTTATATGGAACCATAATCTTAGAAAAGTATTTATAATATTTGTAAAGCTGTCTTTTAATGAAGTGTAACATCTTGAAACAAAGAGATCTTACATCATATGACCTGCTTGCTCTTCATGGATCACCACTAAGTGCTCTGTGGAACATAGTTTGGGAGCCCCTACAGTATACAGTGTTCTGGGACAAAAAGCTGGGTTAAAGCTTGTTCTGGGACAAAAAGCTGGGTTAAAGCTTGGAGCTTTATTTCAAAATTACCTTATCTTGTCACTTTGTGTTACAGTGTTAATACTGCTTAAATGTAGTTTACACCATTTTAAGATTGTATCTTCTTTGGCTATGCTACAAATTTATAAGGAAAAATCTTTATTTTAATGGTAAATGTTACCTGGAAACTAATAAGTATAGTCTGATCTTTTTGCTCAGAAGTTGATATGCACAGAAAACTTTGTAATAGTCAAAGTTTTCACTAGAAGTTTGTCACCATTGATCTGTTTTGTTTTGTGCAGATGAATTTAACTTCTTACATTAAAGGAAGCATTATGAGCATATCAGGTAAAAAATCATAAGGTTGAAAACTCAATTCCGAATATACTTACAAATCAAGCCATGGCATATTGGATATGTCAAATCACAGTTTCTGGAGACTTAAAATGGCCCAATAGGACACGTTAATGTCACCAAAAAAAAAAAGGAAATTTAGAAGTTAAGATAGAAAGTTTGTTTTAAATATAACCTTCTTTTAGATTACTTAAAACAAACAAAATGAGGTTTTAATCTGTATACTGTACACACCAGAGAACCAGGGTAAATGGGACAACTGGCACACTTGTAACTTAAAACATATTTTTTTGTTTGTTTTTCAGGTTTGCGATATTCAGACCCACAGGGGATTGCCAGCTTCTGGTCTATGTGTTGGCCCTGTATGCACTATGCGGGGGATCTCATACCCACCAAAGAACAACACTGGAGCTGGCCTTTAGGGGTAAGGTAATGTTCCACCACCACCTCCTTTTTAGTATATTACAATACAGTGTTGCATAGTTTGCTAAAATATTTTAATATACATTTCCTATATTGTACCATATGGTATATAAAGTAAACATATTGAACTTTAGAAAACTTTGCAAAATTGTAAAACCATGGGACTTATATTGCCCTAATTTCATCCCTATGGGCTTCTTTGGTGGGTGTGGTATCACCAGCATAGTGCGTGCTGAGATATCACATGAATTGGGAGCTGGCAATCCACAGTGAATCTGGACATCACACACCTGAAAACAACTAAAAAAGGTAAGATTTAAGTTATAAGTGTCCTGAATGCTCCTCTTATTGTGCTTATTTAGGAGGATTCAGCATATATTTCTAAAGCAATCTGTTTGTTTTTTAATAAATGGGGAAGCAGCGTTATCTAATGTTTATAGTGGAGAACTCAGAGCCAGGAGACTTGTGTTTTGTTCACCATTTTTTACTGACTTACTGTGTGATGTAGAAACTTTTATTCCTGACTTAAAACAAATACTGTGAATTTAGTATTCCTAAAGGCACTGGATTAACAGCCTATGTAACTGGAGTCCTTTTAAGAAGTCCATGTATTGTGTATGGATGGTGTTCAAGCAAGCATCTAGACACTGCCTATCATCAAAGAGGAAATCTCTGGGAATTAGAAATTAGTTCAGTTCTCAGTCTCTGCTAAGACTGTGGACAAAAATTAATTAGTGCTAACTAGCTTGATTTTTTTTTCCCTAATATGACTGTCTCTGAAAAGTGGACTTATTTCATGTAAACTAGCGAAGTAGATGGTAGAACTTATAGTTAACTTTTTAATTGCAACTGAGGTTGAGCTAGATATGTTTCATCATTCTAGAAGTGAAAACAACTATATTCCATTACCATTCCCTTTCCCTCAAAGCATCCAGTTTCCCTAAATGTATCTATTATGTTGCAGATTTATTTCAGGAGTTGACTCCAAATTTTGTTATACTCAAAATGCTTAAACTGAATGTATTTCAGCTCCACTTATTAAAAGAGGAGCAGCTTGATTTTTCAGAGAGTCTAGGTATATATGGTTTAGGACAAACTTCTTGATTTTTGGTTTCAGTTCTATGTGCTTAGCCCCTCTCAGAATAAGGCTGAGGATGTTTGTTGGTTTAGAAATACTTTTAATATTTTAGTTATTACAATAATGTTGCCTGCTAGAGCAGGGATTTATAATTTTTAACAGATGTAGTTAAAAGTAAATTGTATATTAAGAGATAAGATACAATATACATCAATATACACTATATGAATGTTTCACTTTATCCCTCACTGAAAATATTTATTTATTTATATATTTTACAATGAAGTATTTTTTTAACAGGGTCTTTGTTTCATTGGCATTGGTGCTCTGATAAAGCAAGAAAGCAATCAACCTCTGAAATATTATATTAGTTCTTAGAATTATATCAACAGAGACACAAGGACATTTGATCATTTTCATCACTCCATACCTTGAATATTTTGAAACTTTTTAAAGAAAAGTCATGTAATTGATTATTCCACTGTTCCTGATAGGACGAGGCCTCCACTTTTGAACAATCTTTAAAGTATTAACATGTTTATTTGTCTTATTTAAATTAATTTTGTGTAAAATCTGTAAATTAAAAAACAGAAAACTAGATGAAGCTTAAAGTCATCATCTTGAAATCACATTTACCTCAAAGTTTTATACCTATTATACTTACAAGTAACCCCCTAAATTAGTGTAAATTTTTTTATACTTTTGTTTTATTTTGTACATCTAACAGCACTTTGTGTAGTCAGTTTCATTCTTCTCCTGTATAGTCAGTTTCCAATACCACAAAGATTTACAAATGGAACTACTCACTTTGGTAGAACAAATCATGTCCAGAAATCTTTGCAAGATTGAGGACTTAATTGGAAAAACATCAACAATGGAACAGAAAATCCTGTGATTTTTTTAAAGGATTTTTTTCATGAAAAGAACCAGGTCATTTAAGATGCTTTATCAGAAAATTAGTCCGTTTCAGGATATTATAAAATAGTCAGATTCAAAATATTTAAGTTGATAGCATCCTTTAATAGACAAAACATTGGTTGTCTTAGCTCTCCCTTCCTTCCTTTCCTTTAAAAGGTACATGGATAGTTGGATTTAGTTTTATGTCTGAAACACCATTCTGATAACATGAGCATGCTCTAATAGTACATGCTATAGCTGCTTCGTATAAAAAATTTGTATTAACAGCCTGATACAGGTAAACTTATTAATCAAAGGTATTTGTAGATTCCTTTCTAGTTTTGCTATTCTTGGTATTCATTTTCTTGTTATGTTGGATATCATGCAGTCATCTTGGGTGGGAGGCGGTAAATGTTATACAGTACATTTATTCAGGACATCTTTAACAAATAAGGGCTTGATCCTGCTCCCACTGATTTCAGTAAAGCAAGATCAGCCATAAATTCTTTAAATTAAAAGGAAAAAGACCCTGAAAGGTTTAAGCTCATCCAGAAGAAGAGAAACTTAAACTTGGATCCCTGAAAGCAATTGTGTCTTTTGCAAACTCCCTTACCATTTACAACCCAATCTTTTTTTTTTTAAAGCTTGACATATGCAAAAGATTATGTAGCCTCCTATTATTTCACATTTTCTTTTTTAATCTATATTAAATTACAGAAATTTAATTTTGCAATACTTTACATTAGTATTTGTTGATTTTTAATGTTAATCAATTAGCTGCTTTATGTCTATTTAGTTCTGTTTTCAGTAGCTCCAGTATTGTTCTGACTCATTCAAAGACTTCTGAGATTCACAAGTTTCATCAGTGACACCAAAAAAACCTGCTGCAGTTGAGTAGGTATCATTAAAATGACTTTCAGAGTAGATTATGCCAAATCATAAAGAAATAACCCACTGTCATATCTTTTAAAAAAAATTCTCACAGTCTTTGTATTTCTAATATAATACACATATTTTTTTACCTGGAAGATCATCCAGTATGGGTTACAGCTTATTTCAAAGTGTGGAATTCATTCCTCATTTGAGGGCTTCAGTGGGTATTTAGTGTTGCATTAACCTTATGCTGCCCTGGGCTTAAGGGAGTAGTGTTCTGTCAATACATGAGTAATAAAAATGCTTTCTGTTGTGTGCCATTCTGATCAGGCTTTTTTAGTGTTCTTTGCTATGAAATCAGCCCTATATATGTGAACATTTACTTTATCAAAACTCTGCTCTTCCACTTAATAGTAGTTTGAATGTAATGATTTGATTCTATAAAAGTACATTTTGAGAAAGTAGATTGAGTAGTAGGTGACTTAATCCTTTAGTTATAGACATGAAGGATGGCGGGTAGCTGAACTTCAAGTAGTTGGACATAAATCCAAATATTACTATCTCAACTTTTAACTAGCAAGAGACAAAATCTCACAAATATTCTTGCCCGGATAATAACTGACCCCAAAAACTCACAGCCAAACTAAAACACATTTGATAAGAATAACCGCTGTTATTATTAATAATAGATATTTTGGACAGTAGAGAATTCAGAAGAATTAAAATATCAGGTTCTGGGTTTGTTTTTTAAATTATATTAGCTATGTCTTATGTTTTTACTTTTTGATCAATCTATACCTTCTAGGCTTAATAGTTTACAATAGAATAAATATCAGATACTTTGTAATTACTTAACGAGTCTGCTTCCAGTGTGATTCATTTTACAACCATGTTTGTCCTTCATTTACTAAGTTTTGATAATGAAATTGAATACTGGACTTTACTAAAATAGACTAAGATATAAAAGGAAAAGGAACCATCTGTATAACTGCTTTTATAATAGTAGTTCCATAGGATCTTACATATTGAATATGTGAGGAAAACTTGCTAGAGATCACTTCTTGAGTCTTAACAAAATTTGTGTGTGAACCTCACTGTCCTTTTTTTATTTTTACAGTGGATGATGTTGGAGAAAAATTAGACCATATTGGAAGCACACCTTTAAAAATCAGCACTGAGGTTTCACACGATGATGTTTCTAAAGACGACGGGTTTGGTTCAGAAGTTATAAAAGTGTATATATTTAAAGCTGAAGCTGAGGATGACGTGGAAATAGGCAAGTTCTTACCTTCTGTTTATTGGTTCAGTAGTTTGAAAATGTTTGTTAGTTTTGTGTTCTTTAATAAAATCCACTGTTTTGCAGTATGTGAAATAACATTTTTGTAATGGTCTGTTGGGTATGTCAACCCAATTTAACTATTCCTTTCTCAAGGAAGAATCTCAAGTCTGTTTTTTGCCAGCACAATATTCAAAACACCCTTAAAATAGAAGCTTTGGGGAACACATAATATTTCTGTTCATATTTAACACACTGTTAGCATGCAAAAACTGACACTGTTTATGCCTATGATATCACCCGAATAGTACTATCCAACTGTTCAGCCCTGATTTTTGTCAGGATACTGGTGAGAAAGGAGGGTTTTGTCTATTGTGCCACTAATGAGTAACAAATTTGAAATTTATAATGGCAAGAAAATATTTATTTCAAAGCATTTAATCAGGGTTTTACTGAATGTCTGTCTAAAACAGAAAAAAAATACTGATATAGAACATTTTTCTAATTTAATTCTCATGAGATGATATTCTAGATGATCTTGTTTACATTGACTGTGGTTTTCTTTTTCAAGGAGGAACAGAAATTGTCACAGAGAGTGACTTCCACAATGGACATTCTGTAGCTGGAGTAATTGAGCAGGGAGGTGTAGGCAGAATGCAGCGAGAGAAGATGGTTTACATGGCTGTTAAGGACTCTTCTCAGGAAGATGAAGATATTAGTAAGAATTCTTTTTTTAAAAAAGTACATTTAAAAAATAGTACCAGAAATGAAAACTGTGTGCATAATATTGGTCACTTTCTAAAAGGAATGTTTTCATGTTTGTGAATGATTGTTCTCAGATTTCAACTAGTAGAAATCATATCTTGTCTTGCCCACAAATAAGAGTAGCCTATAATTATTATAAAATACATATTGTGCCTATCTTATACAAGCAGTTGATTATTTGTATTGAATTTAATGTGATCATTGATTGAGTCAATGAATAAGTAATTGATTTTTGCAACTTGCTAATTTTTCAGTTTGCCTAACAAACTAACTTGCTAAAATCTTTTTTACCTCATTTAAACAGCTTTATTATTGAAAGTGTCAAGACCATTTTAGATCACTTTTTAAATTTTATTAAGTAGAGCAGAACTTATTCTTGCAAAGTGGCAAAGAACCATCAGCAGTTACACATTTACAAGGTCCTTTTGGTTGATAGTTATTTTTCCTATCTCCAGTCTAGCAATGTATATGGATAAAGCAACATAACCCTGTACAAATATTTTGGGTAGGGAAGAGAATTGTTCAGTGGGTATCACTACTAATCAGAATAATCATATGAAAATAAGCAAAGGAAAATTTAGGCTGAACATACAGTAACATTAATTCAAGAATCACAACTTCTCCTCCTTAAATGTAGGTTGTGCTGAAATAGCAGATGAAGTTTATATGGAAGTCATTGTAGGTGAAGAGGAAGCAACATCACTTCCTGACACACAACTTGAAGACACCGGTGTGAATAAAACTTTTGTTCCTGTTGCTTGGGCTGCTGCTTATGGTAGGATGCTAGATTCTTTTTTTCCTGGGAATCCCCTCCTCTTATTTTCCCCCTAACTTAGCTCCCAAATCTTTTAGAACATGACCTTCCTACTTCTCAGCTCTGTCTAAGGAGAGTTGTAAACAGCTGTCTCTGGAGCCAGTCATTAACTTACAAGAGTCACACACTGGGGTTGCTCAAAGTGATATTTCAGCAGCTGTGCATACTTTCTCCAGAATGCCCTCAGACTCTTCCAACTAAGGAATGAACGAAAATGCTAGTCCCAAACTCTAGCGTTTTGTTTCACTAGCCTGCCAGACAGCCCTTAAATTATTTTAATATCTGTTTTTTCTTAATCATAAAAAATACCTTGCTTAGTGTTGGGTTTTATACAAGGAAAAGCATAGTAGTTTGTAAGGTTTTGATACTGTTGTTCCAGGTACTAGTTCAGGGATGTCTAGCATGCAAATTTCCCTTGCATATCTTGAAGTCAGCTACTGAGCATTATAGAATCTTGCATAAGCTAAAGGAATTTGTTTAATATACATGAAGCTGGCTGGTGAAAGGTTCACACAAGTTTTATCTGAGAAAAGGAAAATGAGTGTGAGAAAATAAGCTTAGGGTTTGTCATGCAGACCTCTTCCTCTCTCAGTCCTAGGCCATGTCTGCACTAGAGAGCTTAGAGTGGCGCAGCTGTACCAGTGCAGCTGTGCCACTGTAAGATCTCTAGTGTAGCCAGTTTATGCCAATGGAAGAAAGTTCTCCTGTCGACATAATTAATCCACCCCCAACAAGTGTCGGCAGGAGAAGCTCTTCTGCAGACATAGTGCTGTCCACACTGGCACTTACGTCTGTGTAACCAGTGTCGCTCGGGATGGCGGGGGTTATTCACACGGGCTGAGCGACATAAGTTACACTGACATAAGTGGTAATATAGACTTAGCCTTACACTTCATAATCAAACTCTTCACCCTCTGACAGAAAACAAATTGTGTGGTTTTTTTGGTGGTTTTTTTTTAAAGTCTTTTGTATGTCTAAATAAGTTGATCTTCATTGAATAGTATGAACATTTTATTAGGACGTTTTAATGGTGCAAATTCTATTAATATCATATATATTTACTATACTGTAGGTTTTTAACTTATAAATACATCATATTTAAGGGAATATTCTCTCAGATCATCTCTGAGTCATGAAAGAGAGAGTCAGTTGTTTAAGGACGGAGTTCTAACTGGAGTTGGCTGGAAAATGGAAATCCCTTCCTGTGAAAAACTTTGCAATTTTGAATTTTTTTCCATGCTGAATCAGGATGAAAAGTTAAAACTGCTTTAATAAAAATAATAAAAAAAAAAAGTGGGAAGGGATGAAAAATTCCATTTTGAAACAACAACAAACATTTTCTACTTGCGAGCAACTCGCTTGGAAGACTCTTGTTAATTTAACTTTCTCCCTGCAGGCTGAAAATGAAATTGACGATCATTCCAGGCAGGCAGCCAGAAGAGCCATCAATTTTTTTGTGGAAAAATTTGAATGTTGTGAAAAGGGCATTTCCATCAGAAAATTAATCTGACAGAAAAGTCCTGGCCAGATATACTTCTAACCCCATTAGCTGGCAGACAAAACTGTGTTTGAACCACAGAGTCCAAAAGCATAGCAAAAACTTTTTCAGTCCAGAATGAGAAAATGAGAATACTGCTAAGATGTAGCCCATGTCATCCCATAGAGCTTCAGCATTCTTCGTGCAAGTGCTGAATGACCACTGTATCAAGACATGGTAAAGTAGTCCAAAACTTATCATGCACCAAGTTCTTGATAGGGAAGTAAGATCTTTGAACTTGCTCTCATCAAAAGAGAATCGCGGAACTTGGTTATTTTGTACTAGGTGGTGTTTACCAGAACCTAAGAAGAAAGCAAGTTTGTACAGGTATATGTACAATATGGTCATTGTCTGGTTTGGCATCTCTGTAGAGAGTGGTCAGGATGGTGAGGACTCTGCAGTAAATAAAGTTTACTAGCTAGCTAGCTGTTCTCTCACACGAGTTTCAAACCATCATTGTCAAATACAATTTCAGTTTATGAATTAGTAAAATATTGTGTTCTATAGGAGATGAAAGAAGACTGCCCAGAAGGTATGAAGACTGTCAAGCAGCAGGTGAGAACATATAATTATATTTGATGCAAGAGCTACATTTGCTTTCATATTTTTTTGAAAAAAACACAGTTGTATATCAGATTTTCCACTAAGAAATTCATGACTGTCTCCCTTATTTCATGGAATATTGACAAATTCCTGATCCACAGCTGTCCTGATCAGTGAATGCTACCAAACTTTTCAGAATGCATATGTGTAAGGGTTCTATACACTTGGAACTCATTTCTTCAAGGAATTGCAGTTACATAAACATTGTAGAAATAAGAACAATCCTAAATGCAACAGAGACCCTCAGAAATGTACATCAGTATCTTTTAGTATAGTTTTGGGTGATCAGGGAAGGGAAAATGAGGCCACTGGGGAGTAAAGGACTGCTAGGTTGAAGGAAAGAACAGGCATAATTAGCTGAAAGTTAAGGGTTTGGGAGTGGAGGAAACAAAGGTCCATAATGAGTCCAAATTTAATGAAATTCTTATATAAGGCCTTATCAATAGCTATGGTAACTATTGACCCTTTGAAAAAAAGCTTGCCCATTCCTTTCTACAGTGAACATTTATTTTTAAGGTAATGTAAAGTGACTTGCTCCCATGTGAATCCAGTCATCTAGTCCCAAAGAAAAAACTTGCTTATAGTTTTTATGGTGTCTGATCTTTGTATTCAGGAAATAACTTGGATACACGATTAGAAAACAAAAATGGTAATGCAGCACAGTACCTGCAAATCTGTGATAGCATTAACACAAATAGAGCGCTTAAACAAAAAGCCAAGAAGAGGAGGAGGGGAGAAACCAGGCAGTGGCAAACAGGTAGAATATTTTTCATTGTTTATTGTATTGGTTTATATGGAAAGATCCTTTTTCCTGCAACTATTTAAAAAAAACAACACACCTACCACCACTGAAATTGTGTAGTGCAACTGTTCTAAAATTGTTGTCCCTGGAGAATTTGCTGATGGTCCACAGATTGCTGACTGGTACATCATGCTGACTCTCTTAATTTCCAGCTGGCAAATTGCATTAAAAGACATCTAAAATACATTTTTTCTAATATTACTTATCCACATAAACAATTCCTGTAGTTGTCACGGGGATGTTATGTGATCATGAATGGGAGGTGAGATATACACAATTGGGATTGGGAGAAAGGTTGATTAACAAGGCAATCTCTCCATTAATTTGTGGTCCATTCAGTAAACAAGTGCCACCAGTGCCCATGCATTGGGGGTTTATGCCTTACTTCAGTCAACTCTTTTAACAGTATTTAAAATTGTAGATATCTGGGATTTGGTTGTTTAAAGCTACTAAACTATTTGCTCTATCTGTGAAGTTCAAGTAAATGTTCTTGAACAGTTCTTTTTAATTCAGCAGTTTTATCAGTTTTCTTCATAACGTCTTCTGTTTGTTTGAAAACAGCTGTTATAATAGGTCCTGATGGACAGCCCTTAACTGTCTACCCTTGTCACATATGTGGGAAAAAATTTAAATCCAGAGGATTCCTGAAAAGGCATATGAAGAACCACCCAGATCATATGATTAAGAAGAAATACCAGTGTACGGACTGTGACTTTACAACTAACAAAAAAGTAAGTTTCCACAACCATCTGGAAAGCCATAAACTTATAAATAAAGTTGACAAAACCCATGAGTTTACAGAATATACAAGGAGATACAGAGAGGCAAGCCCATTGAGTTCTAATAAACTGATATTGAGGGACAAGGAGCCTAAACTACACAAGTGCAAATACTGTGACTATGAGACTGCAGAACAGGGACTGCTGAATAGACATCTGCTTGCAGTTCACAGCAAGAACTTTCCTCATGTTTGTGTTGAGTGTGGGAAAGGATTCCGTCATCCATCTGAGCTTAAAAAGCATATGAGGACCCACACAGGGGAAAAGCCATACCAGTGTCAGCACTGTGTCTTCAGATGTGCTGATCAATCCAATCTGAAAACACACATAAAAACCAAACATGGGACTGATTTACCATTTAAATGTGAGCATTGTCCCCAAGCATTCACAGATGAAAAAGAACTTCTTCAGCACACAGAGTTATTTCAAGGACATAAGACTCATCAGTGTCCACATTGTGACCATAAGAGCACCAACTCAAGCGACCTGAAACGACACATTATTTCAGTTCACACGAAGGACTTTCCCCACAAATGTGAGGTGTGCGAAAAAGGCTTCCATCGTCCATCTGAGCTCAAAAAGCATAGTGAAACCCACAAAGGTAAAAAGATACATCAGTGTAGGCACTGTGACTTTAAAACTTCAGATCCTTTTGTACTTAGTGGGCATATCCTCTCAGTTCACACCAAGGACCTGCCTTTTAAATGCAAAAGGTGCAAGAGAGGATTTAGGCAGCAAAACGAACTTAAGAAGCACATGAAGACCCACAGTGGAAGAAAAGTGTATCAATGCCAGTATTGTGAATATAGCACTACGGATGCATCAGGCTTTAAACGGCATGTAATATCAATACACACAAAAGACTATCCACACAGGTGTGAATACTGCAAAAAGGGATTCCGTAGACCATCAGAAAAAAATCAACATATAATGAGGCATCACAAAGAGGCCATAATGTAATATATGATGTTGAGAAGGAAGCAATTTAGAAACTGTGATATGCTAATTGGGGAAAAAAATCTCATGAACTGTTTCTCCTGGTTTCAAAGCTTGATATTAAATCATAACTTTACATTCTTTGTATTAAAAGTCTTAAAAGTATTAAGGTTGACAGGGATCTCATAGTCCTATGATTGTGGCTTATCAGAACCTAAAGAGCACTATAGAATGCAGAAAGATGGATGAATGTCTGAAAGGTTGCAGAAGGATTGCTGAATGTCTTCTATTAATAGTATTATACATTGTTAAGCTACAGAAGGAAAAATGAAGACGATTGTGTTATCCATTTCATCAGTAACAGCATTTGTCTCCAATATGAAAACTGTTCAGTTGTGGTGGGGTTATTTACAAACTTTTTGTCAAGGCAACCAATTCAAACTTCTTATTCAGTTTTGAAAAGAATATAAGTCAATCACTTGGTCATTATGTTTTTAAATTGTGCCTGGAAATTGTATTCCAGAATTGGTCAAATTTGGGGGTTTCTCCCCCCCCCCTTTTCTTTTTTTTTTTTAACATTTCATTGGGAAACCTTTTTGTTTCCTTTATTAGTCTAGGTTCAGTGAGTAATTTTTTAAAACTATTTTCAGAGCTGCTAACCTATTTTATGGCAGGATATGATGTTAAAAATATTGCATTATGTTATGAGCTCAAAGGTGGTGTTCTGGTGCTAGGGTTAAAAATATGTATGTATATAATTTCCCTTTTTTATCTGAAACTGCAGTTGAATGTTCAGTATGGCACATGACAAATACCTTTGAATCTGTCATTTTTTTAAAAGGAAAAAATGAATGCAGCTGATAGTGTTGTCTCAACACTGTTTTGTTTTGTTTTTCTTGCTACTTTAAGATCTTCTCTAAAAAGAGTATTAAAAAAGATTCAAACAACACAATAGTTTTTTTGAATTAAAATACAAAATACTTAGAGGTTCTTTAGGGCAGTATTTATAACAGGTATGGCTAGTCTAGTCCTACCTGCTAATATAAAATTTTCAGTATAGACATAAAATTGCACCTTTTAATCAATTCTTTAAAAATCTCTACCATACTATAAACATGCATTTTCAATCTGTAAGAAAGTATATATGCAGTATTTAACCAGAAAAATATGCTGCCACTAGAGTTTGGAGGTGGATCTTCAGTTTACAGTGTATACATTTAAAATATGCATCCCTTTAAACAATGCTTTGTGTTAGCATGCTGCAAATCAAATGGCGCTTAATATAACAAGCTGGTCTAGGGCTATTTAATGAAAAACCTGTTCATAAATGTTATGCATATAATGTGTACTTTTTTACTTTTAGTTGCTTCATGTTTGCACACAGCTGTTTACATGATAAATTGTAACTTTACTTCATGCTATATTGTGGCTTTGTGTTTCAGATAATGTTCATATTTTGTTTTTGCACCAGATGAGAATCAGTTCCTTGAGAATAAATTTTTTTTATATTTCTAAACTTCAGAAAGCTAAATTGGGAAATCTCTTAGAAAAATAAGTGTTTTATGTGGCTGTAAAAAATGATGTACACGCTGTAAAATAAGATTGTCACTGTTACGTGGGATTATTATTTCTAAATGTGTTACTCATCGTAATGAGCATACAATAAAATGCATCTCTTGCACTCCAAGTTTCTTTGGAGTCTTTGTTTCTCATTTATGCTGATTCTGGGAATGTTCTCCTTGGCTGAAAATGTGCCTAATATTTTAATTTCATCATTCTTTTCAGCTTTGTATGAGTTTAATCATCTGGATTGCGGTAAGCCAATTAACTAACAAGTGTTCAAATAGACTACCACTTTTTATTCCATTTAATTATTTTCATTGTATAGTGTTAGCACTAAAGCTGGGTGAAATTTTTTTGGCTAAACCTTTTTCGCCGAACAATGCAGGTTCAGATCAGCCAAAACATTTCACGAATTTGTGTTGACTGTGACAAATTATTTTGGTTGAAACTCCTCCCATCAGTCCTCCAAAAAAAATTTCTGAAAAAATAAAAATGTTTTGTTTTGACATTTAACTAATCAAACTATTTTCATTTTTTCTATTCAAAATTTCTTTGTTTCTAAGTATGCTTCAATTTTATTTTTCTTTAAAAACTCATAAATTAAGTGTTTCATTTCATTCAGAACATTTTGTTCAACCCCAGGGTTTTTTTGTTTGTTTGTTTGTTTGTTTTTTGTTTTTTTTCAGCTTCTGTTGGTTCACCAACAATTTGTGGGGGGAATTGCTTTGGTTGGCCTGAAGTGTATTTATTTGTTTTTTAATATTTTTGGATCAGCTAGCAAACCAACAGATCAGTTATTTGTGCAGCTCTAATTAGCAGTGAGACTTTGCAGTAAATTTATTTCAACATATGTACTAAAATAGTCAACAAATATGGAAAGTAATTGATGTTCCTTTGAATTTCCTTGTTTGGATTCTGCAAAAACATAATTTTCCACACATTTTGGAAAAACCACAGGTAGGTTTAAATTTTTCATAAGAAGAACAGTTCACAATTTAAAATACTAAACCCTTTTTCCTTAATGGAGTTTCCTCCCTCCTAACTTCATGTTTTTTCAGTGTAATTATGTAAACTATAATCAAATATACAAAAATATATAATTGAATCAGAGTTTCCTGTGTGGAGATGTTTCAAAACAAAACAAAAGCCTTCAAGTAGTGGTATCCTGTAAATACTTCAAAGGGATTCCCACCAAAATGTTCCCCCTTGGCTTGTTACAAATTCAGTGTATCCTGTGGGCATGTGCTAACAGATATGAGAGATGGGGACTGGAGTGTCTCTTTTCTTTTTCTTTCCCATTTAAACCAAATACCTTCTGGTAACCATTCCGTAACTAATCTAAGTTTAAAATCTAGTTAATTGAAGATGTTTATATTTTTTGTTCCTAAAAATTATACTGACTAGATTGACACAGCATGGGTTTTCCCTTGTACCGGGATTGAAGATCTACCCCCAATAGACTGAAGATCTTGCCACTGTCCTGGTCTGACCATCTCTTCTACCAGCAGATATCAGCTCTTCTCATCCAAAAGTTGGACCATTCAGGTAACTTGGAGTATCATTGAATTTATACTATATAAAACTTTACAAAGAGATTCAGTCCCACACAGGAACAATTTTTTGTAGGTAAAAATGTCACAAAATTAGTCTGGCATCCTCACAGGTGATTAGGGCTAGAAATAGGAGCACTTATCCTCATAGAGAAATATTTCCACCCTCAGTGGAAGCCAGCATTTGCATCTTGCATATAACCCTGGAAGGGCCTAAAATTCTGGATTTTAGCATCGTGACTTTTCATATACAGAAAAAGTATTTGAAGTCATTTTTATGTCTCCCTCTAATCCTGTACAGTAGTACTGTTGGTAGCTTAAAACGTTCGGCTTTACAAACAGTGTCCTTTGGTGCACACTGGTGCCCCTGCTCTCCTCATGCGCTGCACTGAGAGTTTAAGGGGTGGGGCAGACCAACCACCTCTCCAGTTCCTCCTTACTGGTGCATGGCCTGCATTGGAACCGAATCTAAATATTTAAATTTTATCTTTAATGTAGCTAGTGTAAATAGTTTTAATAATATAAGTCATGTTTAATTGGATTTCCTACTCCCAGGGAACCCTTCTGACTCCCTTTATGGGAATTAGATTATGCCCAGAACACTGGGCTTTTAAAATTGTCTCATCAATCCCTTCTCGTTCTTGGTCAGCGACAGCCACCAGCACTGCCTTTTCGGCCTTAGGAAAGTCCATATGTCGACCAGGTGAAATATTTGTTGTTGCTTCCCTAGCCATGCCCAGCCTGTGCAGGACTTCTTGCTTAAAAACCACCTAATGGAAAAGACTGTGAGACGCCAGGCAGACCCAGCCTGGGGGACCCTCTCCCTGCCCTGGTACATTGGCCAGAGTCAGTGAGGTGCACTCCTCCTACCACATGGCTGATTTAGGAGCAAGGGAAATCAAATCTCTAGAGTTCATCAGGAGAGCAGGAAATGTTCTCAGGAACACAAGAGCAGATCCCCCTGTAAGTCCACTCCAAAGAAGACATGTCCAGGTAGTACAATCCTCCATGCCCAGCCCCCAAAGATTTAGAATGTCCTAAGTCACAGAACCATGATAAAAAGAGGAGGGCTTTATCGGAACCAGACTCTGCACCATCAATAACAACGGCAGCAATACCACCTAGGTTGAAAGACCGAGAACTGCTGGGCTATGGGATAAGTTCATCTACCATCCTGTCTGTTAGCTGCAGCTTTGGTCCGACAGAACTGTTGAGACTGCTGATTGACGTGGATCTGGCTTTTTTGTCTTTGAGGAAATCAGAGGAACCATCATTGCAAGGCGATCAAGAGCTTCCTGGAACCACCCTGTACGCAGACACACACCCCTTGGGACTAATGGTACCCCATGTCTTGGGGTTTCCATGATGCACCTTTGATCCATCCTACTGGGGCTAGTGGGCCCCATACATGATACCCATGGTTGGTGGGATCTAATAAGGAATCATTCCACTCCTCCCCTCCAAGAGAGCAGCCAGACCTTATATAAGACTACAAGCTGGATCCACTGGTTCCACCTGTACTGGCAAGGCTATCCTTAGTTCCCAATGAGGCAGTTACCCCAGCTTTGCCATCCCCTCCAGATTATTACAAGCAATTTCAAAAGCTGCTAAGCAGGGTGGTGGAGGAGCTCTTGATCTCCCTGATAGAGGTCCAGGATACACAACACAAGCTCCTAGATATCCTGCAACTCACAGGGTTCAGCCCGATAGCACTCCCAATGATTGAAGCCATACCAGAGCCAGTAAGAGCCATATGCCATAGACCGGAACATGCGCCCTTACCCCAGAGGGCTGAGGTGTGTAACTTTGTCCCGGTTAAGGGAGTGGAGTTTCTATTTACCACACCAAATTCCCTGGTTGTTAAGGCTGCCACAGAAAGATCTAGGCAGCAATATCCACGAGCCAAACCCCCCCCACAAGGAAACCAAGCATCTGGATCTGGTGAGAGACGGTATAAACATCTAGTAGCCTCCAGTTCAGAATATATAATGATCAAGTGCTGTCGGCTAAGCATGATTTTCTGAATTATTCAAAGTTCTTAGATTTTAAGTGCAAATTACTTCATCAAGATGGGCTCTATTTCAGGCCCTTATTGATGAAAGCAAGTTCGGGGCCAAAACTGCATTAAAATTTACTGCTGATGCAATGGACACTGCGTCAAGGGCAACACTGACATGGTTACACTTATGGTTTCTCAGGGAGGTGCAGAATGCAATGGAGACCAACCTTTTCAACTAAAAAACTTCTGAGACTTTGCATTCACTAAAGGACTCCAGGACAGCCCTCGCTTCCTGGGTATATAAACACCAGCTCCAAAGAGGAAATACCACAAACATCCCTACAAACCCAGGCCTATACCTCAACTATTTTAGCATCCGCAATCCTATGAACTGTCTCGTAAAGGACAGAGAGTACAAAAGCGGTAATACCCTGCACCTTCCACGTCAACCACATGAACCCGGATTCCCCCCCCCACCAAAGATACTTTTGATGGGATGCTTAGGAGTAGCAAACCATTGTTAATGACCTCTCCACCCAATGCTCAAATATCCTTTGGTGGCTGTCTAGCACTCTTTCCCTCAATTGAAGTGCAATAACAGTGGACAAGTGAGTGCTGGAAATCATCCATTCTAGCTATGCCATCGAGTTTCTTTCCCTTCCCAATCCCTATTCAGGGACCATTCTCACAAGGAGATCCTCTGCCAGGAGGTAGAATCTCTCTTCCAATGGTTATACTGGCATCAATACCATCCCTGGAAAAGAACACATGGTTCACCGCTCCTAATGTAAAAGATGCATACTTTCACTTGCGCATTCACCCTGCTCACAGAAGATTCCTCAGGTTTATGGTGGGTCATGACACAGGATGCTTCCATTCGGTCTAGCAACTGCACCTAAGGTCTTCACAAAAGTTTCTAGTAGTAGCAGCGCCATTCACATGAAGCTTCTTCACCATCTTTAGATGACTGGCTTCTCATTGGCAGGACACATCTAGAAGCCCTCACGTCAACATTTTAGCTGCTTCAGCTTCTATCATCTCTAGGAGTCTGTGTGAATTTGGAAAAGTCTATCTTGACCCCAGTGCGGACCATAGAATTTATAAGAGAAACCTTTTGACTCAGTCAAGGCAAGATCTTATGTCTCAATGGAAAGATTTCAGACCATGACCAGCCTGCTAGACCAAGTTTTGTGCATTAGTTGGGATTTGCCTTTCTGCCTTGGGGCACGTGGTGCTGTGTGCTTATGTGACACTGTTTGCCAGACTCCATCTCTGTTGCCTGGAGGTTTGGCTCCAAAAAGTATATATAGACCAAGCAAACCTGGTATGAACACCATAGTAACAATCCCTACCAGGGTGAGGACCTCAGTAACTTGGGGAAGAGATCCAGGTCAAATATGTGTGGCTGTTCCTTTCTTATCTCACACGCCTGACCACATGATAATTATGGGTGCCTCCCTGACAGACTGGGGAACGCACATGGATAGTCACACAGCACAGAGCAGTTGGACTCTTTGAGATACCAGAATGCATGTCAATCTTCCAGAACTCAGGGCAGTCCAAGATGCTTGCAGAGCTTCTGCATCATTCGTTCAGTTTCACTGTGTACTCATAATGTCAGATGTTACAACTGTATTCTACATAAATAAGCCAGGAGGAATGAGATCCGTCTCCTGTGTATAGAAGCGGTTATCTTATGGAACTGGTGTATCAAGAACCATATCACACTATTGTCAGTGTACCATCTAGGAATCCAGAATTTGCTGGCATTTAGTCATCGATCACAATGAGTTACACAACTCAGTAATGAACAGCATTTTCACTCAATGGGAACCCCCCACTTGGTACATGTTTGCCTTGACAAACAGGAAATGCAACATGTAATGATGTAATGCTTCAGGTGAGCTCAAGGAAAGTACTCCAGAGGCGAAGCTCCCCTACTACCTTGGAACTATGCCTTCAGTCTCCTCCCACTATTACCTTGGGGTCTATGGAAGATTCAACAAGACAGGGCACAAGCCATCCTCATTGCCACTGGGTGGCCCAAGCAGTTCTGGTTTCCAAGGCTCCTACAAATGTCATTCTGTCCACCAATCAGCATTTGGTCCTTCCAGAATCTCTTGACCCAGAAGAATGGCAGTGTCAAGCACCCAAACCCTGAGGCATTTACCACACGGTTTGAATTTGGAAGGACATCAAGCCTAGAATCTTCCTGCTCTGAAGCCACAGAGACTATTCTTAATAATATCAGAAAGGATTCCACCAGAAGATGTTACCTAGCCAATTAAAAATGTTTCTTTATCTGGGCCTAGCAAAATCATGTATCTTCAGAGACCTTGGATATTCTTGCTCTTTTAGTTTACCACCTTACTCTCAAGGCAATGGGTCTTTCCCTTAGCTTGCTGTGGGCTCACCTGGTGGCAATCAGTGCATCATCTGTCATCAATGGTTATTTGATCTTCTCTCAACCAGTAAGAGAGAGATTCTTGAAAGGTCTGATCAGACCCTTTCAACCAAAGACCCGCACTTAGGACCTTTTACTTTCAACACTCACTAACTCAGCCTTTTTAATAGCTAGCTATGTGGTCTGCATCTTACTGGTCGATGAAAGTTGCCTTCCTTATTGCCATCACCTTGGCCAGAAAAGTGGGTAAACTTGGGAAAATTTGCTATGGCCTGGTCCACACTAAGCCCCCAGTTCGAACTAAGATACGCAACTTCAGCTACGTGAATAACGTAGCTGAAGTCAAAGTATCTTAGTTCGAACTTAAAGGTACTTACCGCGGGTCCACACGCGGCAGGCAGGCTCCCCC